GAGAGAGCGGACTTGACGGTTATGAGTTGTGGAAGTCAATTGACATCGGACACTGGGGTGTGTTCTGGACGTGCTCGGGCACGCCACTTAGAAAAGGGACGGCGGTGCGAGCGGTCATCTTCCTGTATCCAACTTGCTACGTTTCCATTCAATTACATCAGTTTGGTTAATAGTGATTTTCGTGATAACTTTTATTTTGTCCGATGTCCTTTTATGATGTCCGATGAGGGATCTGACAACGAGTTTTCCCATGTGATCCAACTATTCTCCAACATGTATATCGTTTAAACGAAACCTCAGTCTTGGGTAGATAGAATGAGAGTACAGAATTATAAATGAAAAACTTTAGCGCCCTCGACGCCAACAGAACTCGGCATTGACTCCTTCCTTTAGGTTTTTTTGTTAAAAAAGCATTTGAAAAATTTAAAAACTCACAACGCCACATTTTAGAATACTTAAGCTTTATTTTTTTAAGCTTTATTTATCTTTAATATTTATTTAATGTTTTTTAATTATATTTATTATTTATCTTTAATAGCTATATTTTTTTAATTGGTCATATAAAGTAAGAGATAACAAACAGGAGCTAAGTACTTTGTTCAAGAACTTATTAAACAAATTTAAAAAGCTTATTTCTTCGTTAGAACAACGTGACTTATAAAGAACCTTTGATTTGAGAGTCCCGATGCGGTATTATTGAAAAAGTTATGAAAGCGCATAAAGGATTTACTTGCCGCAACTTAACAGTTAATGATTTTCAATTAAAAACTTTGTCGTCAAAAGAAGTTCTTGCTATTCAAAATATTTCTCATTACAAACTTTTTTGTAACTTGAAATTTTTTTATTCATGGTTTTAGAATTGTTTCTACAGCCTTTAAGGTTTCAATAGACTCACTTCTTTAAGTTTCCTAAGTCATTAACATCTGGAAAGATTTCCGGATACAATTGATTTCACAAAGTAGACATGCGTGGAGATCTGTGGATTGAGATCTATTCATTTAGATATTCTTAGTATTCTATGGTATTTATGATGTTACTTATGCTTTGTCAAATTTGTCATCGTACGTGGAAGCTATTAGCAATTTAATTATAACAATACTTCGGAACATTCCCTACGGTCAGTGTCATCGGAAGAAAGCCGATAATGAGGAGGAGTTGACAGCACACAACAGAAGTACTTTGAATTCAATTAAATGTGGAATATTGGGTGCCAAGGCACAAACAAGAGAACAGACGGAGCGTTGCAGCTCTGGCCTATTCATTCACGGTAAAACAAAGATTAATCGAAGCATTTCAGGAGGGTTGTTAAGTGTGTTTTCCGGTTCTTGCAGACGTAACGTGCAGTCACAAGAAAAACTAGCACCCAGTTTCCGAAAGCGCAATCAATTTTAATTTACGATAAATCTCTTGTCAATCGCTGTTTAACATGATCTGAGTTGCTAGAACGTCTTAAACAATATTGATTTTGATTTGCAATTAGTCACTGATTAACGGACAATCAACAGAAAATCGAGTTTCTGAAAGCGTTTTTCGGTGGTCAAAGAGCTGTCAAAAGTTTTATTAAGTATTCTGTCAATTTGGACGATCAATCGTTGGTTTAAAATGTTATTTATCAAAAATCTTAGTTTTTATTAAAAATAAACATAATTCCCTAATACGTTGTTAGGACATTCATGTGTTCTATTACCTATTTATTATTTATTATTATGCGAACATATCATGTGATTAGAAAAAATACAAAATGCAATTCAAATGTTAATAAATAATATGGATTCTTTCTTTTTATAATAGTTACTTGTTTATTATTGATAAAAGTTCATTTTTTTCACGTTCTGTAAAGTTTTTTTTTTCTTCACATTTTGCATGTATTTATATAAATTAAATTTACTATAGCTCGGATTTTTACGTTGGCAATCACACGGTGACAGGACTGGATAGTGACGTTAATTTAAGTTTTGTTTAAAAAGGAACAGCTATACAATAGAAAGAGTTAGTTGAAGTAAATCATTCATTTCATTCATTATCATTGGTTATACAGTGATTAGGTAATTTTTCTTGAACAAACCTTCCAGAAACCCAAGGGAGTTTAACAAGAGATTAACAGCTGATCATTTTTGACATAGTGTTATGTGATTGCTGCTTTGATTGGCCTTTCGGAAACTGGGCATAGATGATGTTGCGGTCCTCCACGATTGCTTTTTCAATTTCAACGATTTTTTTTCATTTGTGACCGGTTTTCAGTTATCGGTAGTAGAAGTCAATCACAAATCACTAACCATGGTCTCCATGGTTAGTGATTTGTGTGGGTACCGTGGAATGGAAACGTCACAAAAATTTCTTCCGTGACACAAGAAGAAAGATATTGAACTTTGACAATCTTTTTGTTTAACTTGGAAATTTAGTAATTAGAGAGATTCGACAACTTCACATATTTGCCAGTGTATTGGTTACGCAACCAACCGGTTGATTACTTTTATTCAATAAACATTACTTATTGTTGTATTGTTTTGTATGATTATTCATAACGTTAACTCTGTCACAAGTTTTTTTTATGAGACATATTCTTATTCGATTTTCTTCCAATAGTAGTCATCTTATTCGTTGACTCGTTTCACACACATGCAATTCTTCAAACAACCCATTCAAATCTCTTAACCTCTATTTAGATCTCCCTTCAATTACATTCACGCTAAATGCATACAATATTATTGATGTACGAGTGATAATAGAAAAATATTTAAAAAATATTCCTTCATACTATGAAATCAACAAGTAGTATATATATTTATAACTTTCGTAAAAAAATATTTGATTTTCATAGGTATGAATAATTCATCGTATCATTTTGATCGCTGCGATCAAGTATTTTCGATCTTAAAGTTAGTCATATGCTTGGGTTCATTCAAAGAATATAAAGTTTTAGAATTGCTGAACAGTTTGTATCAATAATATTAAAATTCAATCACGCTCTCAGAAATAGCTGACAATCCTGTTTAATCCCTCTTCTCTGGGGGGAACTTCAAAGCTTCGCGCACGTGAGCTGCAATATTATAATTAAAATCAAATTATTTTTATACAGTTATAAGTAAAGTCGATTCGTTAAGTTTTAGAACACAGGCGTGAATCTGAGTTCAATAATTTCATTTTAGCTAGCATTATTTTACGGATATTTCTATGATTAATTTTCATTTGAATGCCCGAAGCTGCGAATATTACACAGGAGATGGTCTTTCCTTTATTTGAAATCTTTTATGTGAATATCGCCGCCCATGGACCTCTGCTACACCCGAGGGTTCCAGACGCGTTGACAACCTTTTGAAAATTGGGCTCCGGCCACCTCACTCACCAGACTAAACGCGAAAGTATAATATTATACTTCCACTTTACGCCGGTCTTCTGTGAGTTCGTGTTACTTACTCGGACGAGCCTGCCCATTCGTGCAACAGCCGAGGCTGCTGCGTGGCCCTACCACCGCAAAGGTGGTCACATAATGGGACAAGCTGACATAACTTATGCCCTAACACAGGGGTGAGCAACCTTTTTAATCAATGGGCCAATTTAAATTTAAAATTTTTTGGCCGGCCACACATAATAATTTACGAAACTTTATTTAATAAATTTTTTTTTTTTTTTTTTATAATAAATATTGGAATAAAGAAATATAAAATTAAAAAAGTAAAGATTTGTCATTTCATATACAAATTTTAATGCCCTACCACCATATTGGAATAAAGAAATATAAAATTAAAAAAGTAAAGATTTCCAAGGTAAAACAAAGAAGAAAAACGAACAAAAAATATTTCGGTTCAGTATGTACTACCATTTTATTATAATTAATTTTATAACACTATATTGATTGGAGAAATTCGATAAAATAAATTCAATTTTAGAAATGCTTGGCGGGCCACATAAACATGTTTAACGGGCCGCTAGCAGCCCGCGGGCGCCGCGTTGCTCATCCTTGCCCTAACATAATATTAATTAACCACCGTCAACTTTTGTAATAATTTAATTATCAGTTTATTAAATATAATCTTGATGATTGTATTTCTTTCGAAGACAAGATACCTAATAATTTTTTTTCACTTTAATTTATTACCTCGATTTTACGAAAATTAGAGTACATTAGAAGGTCAGCTCAATGTGCAACGATCGTATATCGGTGACACACTTGGAAGGGATTAACCCGGCTAATCAGTACGGATCTTTCTATGCATATACGAATGTAAGATACTTTGAACGCGCTCTTATTTTAAAAAGTAAAAGGACGACCGCATACGACAAAGATTGAACAAAAGAAATAAAAAAAGTTTTAAAACTGTATATAAATTGTTCACATTTAAGGTGCGTTCACCTATATTTGTGCTAATTAGCCAGCACTACAGTGTCGTGGTGACGTGACCGTAATGCGTAGCACGTCGCTGCGTGTACGCACATCTATTAGGCGAAAGCGCACACTGTCAGTATAAGTCGCACTCACTACTCAGTGAAGCCAGTTGTTTCTTTCATGTGAATAATTGATTATATTTTAAATACTTTAATGTAAATAATTTTATATGAAATTGACAATTGCATGCTGAAGTCAGCTGAATATGGTGCACCAAATTATTATAATTAAGATCACAATGTACTACCATATTCTGGCAATAAAGACATTCATTCATTCATTCAATTTTGGGTTCAATGAGAATCACGTAAACACCCAACTGTAACGACTTCGATTCTTGAGTCCACATTTGTTGAGGTAATAGCGTCGTAAATATTCCTTAAGCCAGCCTGACCAAACCTTTTGCTATATGCCATCTGCTTCTTAAGTAAAGGTCGTAGTTTGTATAGTTAGGGTCAATACCAAACTGTGGCACGGGGATGTACTAATTGATGGCACCAATTCAAAATGATTGGGCGTAAGTGCTTTGGATCATTGCTAACATATATAAGGTAACCAAAGTTTCTAGACGAGGCGCACTTTCTTTTTAAGACTACCTGTAATGAATTTTTTACCGTACGTACCATTCTCTTCCATGACCCTCTCCCATCTCAGGAGCACCAGGTGGAATGAATCTCACTTCTACACCAAGTTCAGCAGCAGCTTCGCGGACTGTACCCGTGTTCAGCTCGGCTATGCTGCACTTTAATTCTGCATCTGCTCCCTTCAGATTTGTGTTTGTGTTATCAGAGATAATTACCGTGTGCATACCAGGACGTACTGCTATAATCTTAGCATCTGCTGTCAGGTTCTCAGTTACCTCGATATCGTTTGCACGAACCGTGAGGCCATCTATATAACACAGGGACGCTGGGCAGGCATTCCGATCATGCCTATCTAGCAAGCAGCAATAATACTAGCCTTTAGATTTAACAAACCTGGTGGAGGTTCTTTTCATCTTTTCTCATAGCCCTTTTGAATAGACGAAATTCCGGTAATGGATATTCCGATTTCCTACAAAATATACATACCTAATTTAAGTTTATTACTTGTCATTGCAGTTATGTTGAGGTTGAAATTATTAGAACGATATTTATCGTCACATACTTTCTATAGTCTCGCAAATGTGTAACCTCCACAACTGAAAATTTATTTCAGAAATGCCGCTAGTAACCATAATATCCTAGATAGAGTTGGATTATATGATATAGGCATATGGTGGCCCGGTGCTCGAATTGGGTCCACTAGGTGTCCCCTTGGTTCGTCTTTGTTGGCGCCTTCCACCACAGCTAGATCGAACACAAGCTTCTTGTCGATGAGCTTTATTTGGATTCTAGTATTTTCTTCTGCAGCTGTCAGTTCCAGTTACTTGCGCTAAACGTATGACGATGAAGATTCTGCTGCCACGCCTATTGATTTAGTTTTCATCGACCTCTGCAGAATTTGTACTTTACTGCCATTGGTGGTTCTGGTTCCTGAGAAATAATTTTTGAACTGCCCGCAAACTCATCATTCGATAGCACAAATTCAATGGCGTTATCTAACCTCCCATTTAAATTTTCGTGGTTCTTTATAGATAAAACTTATTTGCTGGAGTAATAGACATATTTCTGGTACGAGGCACGAATGATCAACTTTCGCACCTCCGCGTGCAACGATTGTATGTCGGTGACTAACTTAGGAAGGGATTAGCATCGCTAATAATTGGTATGGATCTTTCCATGCATATATCTACTAATGTAAGAATGCACCCTTTTTTTAAAAAAAATTGGCTTAAAAAAGCGTAGTGAATGTTTAAAACTGTATAAAAATAGAATACATTTAAGGTCCGCCGCCTACAGCTATTATTTGAGTATAAGGCATTAATAATTAAAGACATCGCAAGGTAAATTCAAATATAATTAAATAATTGTACGTAATGAATTAAGCAAGCAACTTTCTAGGGCGCAGCGCAGAATCTTCTGTGTATATTTATTTAATTCCACTTTGAATATTTAATTCATGACACTGTAAACAGAAGTGGTCAATCCATTTATTAATAGGTCACGAGTATAATCTTAAAATAGTCGGGTGGGCCCAATGGTTACAAATCCGATTTATAGTTGGGTTATGGGTTCGAAAGCAAATGGCGTGCTTCTAGAAATTTTCCTTTCTTTGGTATTTTTATCCAGAAATGTGACAGGCTGTTCAAACCTAAATATCTCTACTTCTCGTAAGTTTGAATTATTCAGTGAGAATATTATATAAATATTGAATTAAGATTTCTATTCAGCCCATTGAATCAGCATTCAATATATTAAGTAAATATCGAATTCTGATTCAATGGGCTTTACATTGTATATGAAAACACACATAGCGTTGATTCATATAGAAACACAAGTTATGGAAATCTTTATTACCTTATTTGCGGTTTATAGTTCTGTAACAATCGTTTTTAAAACCCACCAGCCGTAATTTGGCAATACAAGTCGATCAATTTATTGGAAATAGTAACGATTCGGAAAATGATTTTACGATCCCGTTAATATAACTGACTCATAGCCATGTTTCACTAGATCAAAGTTCCGTTTGCGAGGGAGTTATTAATTGGTATGCTCGATTTGATTCACAGCGAAGCGCGCTTGTATGTTATAAGTTATGCGAGATATCTAGAGGCAAAGAGTGCAGTGATTAAGTCAGTTATTATATCTATTAATATTGTGTGATGAGCATAGTGTTTTTCTAATGTTTGGGTGTTTATACATGTATAATATGTATTTATTTACAAAAGAAAAGTATATTTATCAGTTATCTAGTACCCATAGTACAAGACTTGCTTAGTTTGAGACTAGAGAACGTTGTGTAAAAATGTGTCCGAAAAATATTAATTATTTAGCACAATTATAATAAGATCTCTAATAATTAAAGTATTAATTCTGTCGCTAGGAAATAACGTCATTTACTCATTAGCCTACGGTACATTTTTCATTTACCCATTTCTTATGTTATATCCATTTATCAAGTTTTCTCAGCTGGAAATTGCCTGTATATACTTTACATAGATTATTTTAAAATAAGATATATATATATATTAGTCTACGTGTTCTCGAGAGAAAGCATACAAGTGTTCCTTCACCACCACTTGATAATAACGTATCACTTAACTGTGCAAAAATTTACGTGGTATCGGTACCGTGATTTCAACATAGATTGCTAGTGTGCAGTTTTATTGACCGGGTCCAGCTTACGGTATATATATAATAGTTTAAAAAAAATAAAAAACAGACTTTTGTAGATAATGAAAAGAAAAAGTAGATGTAATTTTCAATAAATTAAATTCGTTTCGTAAATATCTTTTAAATTTATTTTGCTGTTTAACAATTTATACACAAAATACATGAGGAAGTTTTTCCTTTATAAATTGTGAACTGTCTTTTGGTTTTACATTTAAGAACCTTCTCCACAATTATAAGAACGTGGTTTCAACTATAAATTGTGTTACTCATTATAAAAGTGGTCGAGGATGAGAAAATGGCAGATAAACTGTTATCGTATTCGGGCATAAATATGTAGCTGTCGTATCGTCAAAATATATTAAAACTGCAGGCTACTTAGCCATGGTTGTTTGTATTTGTTGTTATTTGTTGTTTTTGTGCATCTTTAACTTTTTCACAATACTGATATATCTAAATCTCCCAACCTGAATATAATTGCTCATTATCTTTTTTTTTTTTACTTTTCTTTAGCGATAAATGAAAATTGATTTTTATGTCGTTTAATATCGACGCCTCTAAAAAGACTGTGTCTGTCGAGGATATAAATTTTTAGTGCAATTTTGGTCATAGAATTTACATGAGGCATAATCAGTACTTGTGGAACTGACCACTGTCAATAAAATAAATAAAAAGTATTTATAGTCTGAAAACGGTAGTCTGTGAACATTTTACTTTTTAATTTGCAAAACTAGTTTTTTCATTGTGGCGATTTTCGATATGTTGGCTTATGTTAACAAAGAATTTGCCAGCAACATCAACTGCTATTTCTTCGCTCGTTTCGCAGCTCTGTGTATTTGTGTTTCAGATTATCTAGACGCAGATTGATTCCTCTTCATGTGACGTCAATGCGACCTAGTGATTTATACTGAAAAAAAAAATTACTAGTCAGCAAATTTATACTGCATTGGCATGAATCAAACGCAAAATATTTTGCATCTGCTTTGAACAATGGTTCCAAATGATAAAAAAGTGAGCGAGGACGGAAAACAATAAACGAGTCATAAAAATAATGTCGGGTTTTATTTAGTATAATCCATAAACTTTCAATGATCTATAATAACAAAAACTGTCTAGGAAACTTTAAAATGATGGAAATTATTTCTGCTTATGTTAACTATTTATATTTGAAGCATAGATTTCTTTTAAAGATAATAGAATACAAACGCAAGTAGACAAGTTTCAAGGTAATTTATTAGTTATAATTACAAAATCTGAATAAGCTCAAGTAGCACTAACAACGATGTTTTGCATAATTTCTATTAAAAATTGTTTAAGTTGTTTACGCATTAAAGCATTACAACTAATGCTAATGTATAAATGATATTAAAATATTGTGAAGACTATACATTAAACTTTACAAGGGTTGGGTACAGTTTGTTTACGCCAAATTGAACATAATTTAGACATAACATTTGTTTTCCTAACTATATGTTATTTATTAGTAAATAAAAGTATTCTCCGTTTTTAGCGTTTCATTATGGTCCAGCGAAAGTACATTTTTTTCTTCCATTTTTCTTTTCAGGAATGTTGCCCTTACTGAAGCATAACATTATTCTGTGTTGTAAGAGACAAATACACAAATCCAAATCAATTATCTGTGGGTCATACAAATACTTATCCCGTGTGGGAATTGAACCCACGATCCCCGACGCCGAAGCCAATACCTTGACAACTGCGCCACGGAGTCATCGAAGTCTCTGTATTGTTTTTTATTAATAATTATGACGATCAATGCCGTGCTGCACTGTTACAATGGCATTCAATTTAAATCCGCCGCAAACTTTTCATTCTTCTGGCTTTAAAAACTCGACAATATCTTGACAGTATATAGTAATCATGCCGCCGCTTCGTGGTGCAGCACGAAGATAGCTTTTAGCCTTCCACAATAAACAGGATTTTTCTAAACTAAAACCCTTCGACATTCACTACGTTTTCATAACATAGTGAATGTCGCTGCTGTCAAGAATACCGTTTAATTTTAGGATTTTATATCGTTATTAGGCAGTCATTTTCAGCTAATGTAATAGCTAAGCTAGCTAAGCTCTGATCAACGCTTAATTATATGCAAAAATTCGCATTTCGCTTAAATAAGTATTTTAAATTATATTACAGTAGAGCTAGATAATACATCTCACTTACTAAGAAAACCAAAAACCGTGCTCAGCCTTTATCGAACAATGTATCCGCTTTTAAGAAAAAATACAATTTTTATATTAGGAACGGCGTCATAGTTAGAAGTTCAGTGCGAATGGCAGCCGCAGGTTGGCAATCACTAAGTGGGTGCACTAGCAGATTTCCAGTCTGCGAGCTAGTGGGGCACTCGAAGATTGAAGAATTACTGATCAATTGACTTTTAAGTTTTGGGGGCCGCAATATTCAGACATTTCCCTCGGCAAACGTGACCTTATGAAACTGGTATAGTTACATTTCACTTAACATATCCTGACACCAGAATAGTATTTTTAAATTTTTAAACAGATAATATTCACAAACAAATGTAGGGATATATGCATTAACCTTTATTCTGGCCCATATGAACAAAAACTTTATTTTGCTGTTGATGCTTATAATTTTAGTATAAGTATTTTGGATATAGACTTTACGATATCAGGGACCGTGCTCTGATATGAGCTAAATATTATTTAAAAGAATCTTGTATTCTTTTAAATATACATGTGTGCAAAAGTAAAGACCGCACACGCAATCCAATTTATGTTTATTTATTTTGCATAAGGAATAGCTTTGATGTTTGTGAAATCTATGCTAATGTAATAAAGTGTGCGAATTTTATGAATTTGTTATATGTAGAGAAGGAAACATTTGAAAAATTATTTCACAATTTTATAGGTACATTATTCCAAATGGGAATGGTTTAATATAGTACGTGTGTATATGATAAACAAAAATATATGGAAGTCATAACATCTACTGCAGGAATTTCTCAAATATTAAAACTCAATTACATGTGGGTGAAAACGGGACGGGCGAACTCCGCCGTGAGTTTAATTCCCACATGCAACTAGTATCGAAATGTATTAGCTAACATATTTTTATATATAAATTTCATATTATCATTATCATGTCCTATATTTTTCATGTCATTTTAACAATTTAAACATCTAGAAACGGATTGTAAAAATGACATTTTATTTTTTCTAATAACTACTATAACACTAAAATTTTAGAGAGATGGAGACTGTAAGAAGATATCAATAAGTGAAATAAAAAATCGTTTTGTATTTTTGTTTACATTCCATTAAAACGTACTCGCTGGGCGGAATTTTGTGCCTTTTTTCTTTTTTTTTTTTGTTAAAACCTGTTGCTAGATTAACAACAAAGGTCTACTAAACTATAACACATTTTTTTCTGTTTTTTTTTTCTAATTTTTATTTTGATGATATGAAAAATTGTTAAAACGATCTGAAAATATATAAATACTTGCTTGCACTTACGTCAATTACGTAGTTGGCAGCGATATATCTACACAAGTGTTTTATTTTGATATATTTTTTTCGTAACTAAAGGCTATGGCAACAAAACCGATACCCGGAAATTCGTACTAAAACAATTTTTGACACACAGCATTAACTGAAATTTAAATTCATAAACCATTTGTTCATGGGCGTCTGTATATATTTTGTTCCTTCCATGCCTAGGCCAAAAGGCGAGCTTGCTGAAGTCCTTAAGTAATATAGGCCTCGCGTAGAAGTTGGTGAACCATAACCAAGCACTGCATAATCCTTGTCTTCGCATGCGTTTTCTTCGAAATGCTTCAAACTTTGGCATCGTATGCCCACAAAAGATTTTGGCACTTTTATGCTTTCCGCGTAGACATTCGCTGCTCTTAGATGGCTGCATGAGGGTACCATGCAGCCAGGTTGTGAGGGCCCACCGCCGTTGATGTAAAAATCTACGTGTCCTAAGGGCTCAATGATGCCTTGTACCAATCTGTTTGAATGTACGACATCTACGTAAGTTGCATCAGATTTGTCCAGCCTCTGGTCAGCGTATGCGTAGGAAAAGCAGGGCCCAGCCGGATCTAAGCCCGTTATGCGACCCAAGGAACGGCGTTTGTACTGACGGAAATATTTACCGGCCCAACCAGCAATATGAGCGCCAAGACTGATACCAAGGAGATGAAAATCGTCAGCGTTCGCTCCGAAGCTTTCCAAATTAGCTAACAAATTCGCTAGCCTTTTCCCAATCAAACGAGCATTATGAACGGATAAAAAATACCTCTTATTCATCATTTCTTCTGCATCAACTAGCATGACATTGAATATTTTTTTGTCGTTATATGCTTCAGCCAAATCCTGCGAGACGGAAGAGTGTGAACTGTCTTTATAACCGTGAATAATGATTTTCGTTTGCTTGGTAATATCAAACATCGAAGGCTTGGTGAGTGTTTGGTAAGCTTCATTTATAGGGAAAGTTGTACTCATGGGGCCATGTAGAAAAATCATTTTCATTGTCTTTATAATTTCATTCTGACTGTTCAGTGAATTGTGCTGTAAATCCACTAAGGCTCTGCCTGCGGAAGCGAAAATAATTATGAAAACGGGTGCTTTCGGAGTCTGTTCTAAATGGCATTGATTTTAAACGCAGAGTAAACACTTACATGCGCCGGACAGGCGTACGTAGAGGGTCTCGGCAAAAGTAAGTTCGGCTTCGGAGCGGGGGGCGCCTTGAGCTGTCACTTCTGACGCGAGCGCTATTGAGATTGCGAGCACCGTGAACACTGCAGCGTTGTGTTGGTGCATGGCCTGGGCCCTCAGCCGCTAACACGGTCACTGTGTCACTGTCCGTAAAGAGAGAGGCGCGTCTAGCACCCGTTTACAAAAGGGAAATCACTTTGGAGGGGGCTATCTGGTGCAATTAATCCGCGCCCGCACTACACTCGCTTGCAGAAGGCCACAGGCAACCGATAAAACGGTTATTTTATAATATATGACATAAGCGCGTGCAACTGTTGAGCGCATATCGGGCAATTTAATAACGAACTAAAACACGATAGTGACCATACACGGTAAGTAAATTAAAGAAGCGACTGATGTTTTAAATTTCTTATATAGACACGAATAATAATAATGCTAAGTTAATTAAATTAGATGTATTAACTAACATATTGTTTTAGACTGTGATTGCAGAATAAAAATCAACGTAGGGTAACTTCTTAAAACAAAGAAAATTTCTTTAGATAATAAACTATTTTTATTAATCACGTTTTTGCTGCTTCTTTGTTTTGCGATCGCTATGATGCCTGGGTAAGATTATTAGTAGTAAATGTCAATGTCATTTGTTTTTAAAAAATTTCTATTCAGTCTAATGTAGATAGCTGGCTATTTGTTTGGACCTGAATAATTGTTATTTAATAACCACGGTATATTATATATAATCATGTGTCATTAATGACTTCAGTCTATTCTCATGTTTAAAGCACCAAGAGATCTTGGTATTGATAATATTTATAACTTTATCTTAATGTTACTGTTGAATCGAATAAAAAATATGTTAATATTTAATTCACACTCAGAAAAAGGTAACTTGGCCATGAAAATGCAAAGTCCAAATGCAAATCCTTTCAACTGACGTTCATAAAAAAACTTTATTGTATTGCGTTTACTTCACAAATATGACATTTAAAGTAACAAGAGGTGATCGTTGGAATACAAAATAACATAATTTAATTTGGGCGATTAAATAAAAATTCATGGACTACTCGGATGAGATCTTTCAAATAATTGGGTCAATATCACGACTAAGCTCGTGTACTTGATAGAGCCACGTGGGCGGCGATTAATTAGGTATTCTGGGGATCGAGCAAAAGACCTTGCCGATATGCACGAACTTAAGGATACTAATAAATAAACGAAGAAAAAAACTGGAGGAAGCCTTTACGATTAGACATTTCTAATGCGTTCAGCATTAGACTAAATAAATTTAAAATAGTTGTTTGCTCCCATGTTTGCATAAATAGAAAGAATATAAATATGGAATATGGTATGATCTAAAGTTTCATTGGAATTAAATAGTGTTAGACTAAAACTATGCGTTTTAGTCCAGCAATAAAGAAAACCCGCTTTCCTCTAACTCCACTAAATTCTACCACAATTAGCTCTGTACAAGCTGGGTTACTTTATAAGAGTCTTATTAAGATTCATTTCATATCTAGTCTTACCGAATAACACTATAATTTGGCGGCACTTATCTCTAACAGTGTCTGCAACAAACGGAAAGTTGCAACACCGTAATGCTATTATAATTTACTAAAGATTATAACGAGTTAAAAAAATGTTGCAACATTTGCGTATTAATTGCGGCAAATTTTCCTTAATGTTTGACAAAACAGTTAAAATGATGAAAACGCAATTTAAATGTTATTAAATAATTAACATGACAATTATATATTTTAATTTTAGCACATTTTTTGCGAACTGTTTTTAAAAGACTAAAACATTATTAAATTATTTTCAGATAGTATTGTATTATTTTTTTAAGGTTTCACGATTGTTCTCATCACTGTGTGATTTTTGTGGAAAATTTAACGTTATCGACATCTATATAATGGCGGATTGTTGTCGTTATTGTTATTAAAATATACCCATATACCGCGTGTCTCTTTACAATGGTGACAATAAATGAACTCATATAGAGGATAACTTTTTAAAATTGTATTAAACATTTACATTCTTTAAACAGACAGAGTTATAAAATTTTCCAAAACAAAGAATTTTAGAACAGTCTTACGTATAAAACTGTTACGGAAAGTTCAATTGTAAAGGTCACAAAGCATATGAATGGGTTGAATGAATTTAAAAGAGACAAAACATACTGTTAGATGGAGAGGCTTGTAATGCGACGCTGTGACAACGAATGAAAAAGTCTCTGAATGTATGAATCAGTCAGTTGTAGTTGTATAGGATGTTACAAATTTAGTTTCTTTTTTACTTAATTAGTTCGTTTGAAAAATATTTATTTAATTATGGAGTTTTTTAACGTTAATATTTTTTATGAATATTGGCAAGTAGCGTTAGACGTGTGTTCATTTATTGTCGCGATGGTAACGACACGCTGTATACGTTAACGAACGTGAGAGTTTGGCGACCCCAGGTTCTTTTGATATTTTTATTCTCAAATATTCATTTATTATATGAGTGTAACAGTTTGCGCGGAAACATCAGGATTTAAAATTAAAAATGAACGTGATAAATCCATAACAATAGTTTAATGTATTAATGTGAAGTATTTGCTTAAATATGAGTAGTTATATCAAAGATTATTATAAAATTAAGCGTATTATAAAATAAATACATTAACATCGATTTATGTTTTACCCCATTTATGTTTAAATTCACCTGACCCGTTTGGAACGATGTTGTTTCACTGTATATTGTGTACTAAATACAAGTCTCAATGAAATTAACTAACACGGTCTGGGAGTAAACAATATGGTATACATAAAGGATGGAAAAAAACCCGGATATCTTTAAACACCGTACCCACCTTAGCTCGGGTAGTTAGCGTGTAACTTCGTTCCTATAAAGATACAAATAATTCATGAAACGAAATTGGGTATCCTGGGCATAATCCGAAAACATCTATATAAATTACTGCTTTTTTTTTTCATGATTAGGCGCGGTTAGACTTTGAAGCCGTGGTGGGATTTTGTCCCGCAAGAGACCTTGAATTTCTATGACAAATACATAACTGTTCCAGATCTTAAGTACTCTGAATCCAATTTTTAACAACACAGGTTATTATTCTGTTACAACAGTGTTCTTCATTAAAGCAGAAATAATAAATAACGGAAACGAAACGATTGTGTTTTATTCTCAACTAGAGACCCGCCCGGCTTCGCACGGGTGCAATGTTGAACGTTTGTTTTCGACATCGCATTAGAAACCTATAAATTATTTGTGTTTCTCTACTATATTATACATATAAACCTTCCTCTTGAATCACTTTATCTATTAAAGAAAACCAGCGGGACGACTGTTTTATTCTATGAAGTGATATTCTGTTCGAAGTTATAAGTAAGGAAATAAAGTAATCACGCATTGTTGCCGCACCTTGTTGCGTTGCATATATGCAAAAGTCTAAGTTAATTAAATATTTATTATATGTGTTTATTAACCTAATGTGTTACGCAAGTTTTTTGTTTTTATATCGTCTTAATTTTTACATGTTTTTTTTTTAAACTGATGTAATAAAGGTGAGGTTTAAAGGATTTAAAAATCTTATTTATAGCTTTTGTTGCACAATTATTTCGCGCTTTTCCTAACCTTTTTTGTTACAAAACGCTGAGAGCACAATATTTCCGGTCATTAAAGTTGAAACGCAGGCGTGAACTGTGTCGATGTCACGGAGCGCTTCCGCGTTGAGCAGTGACGTAATGAATTCATAGCGACAATGACGAAATGTGTCGCCTAATTTCACAACGGTGTGACGTTGCTCAATTTGGGCAACGGCGTTGAACTTTTCGCTACGTCATTTCAATTTAAGTTCCCGAAAGATCTGGAAACTTCAGGCGCAAGTTAGACGATATTTCTGAGGGAAGACGTTTTGTCTTCTCGACCGAGGCGCCACTTTTGAGGCACCGCTATATTGTTTAAGTGCCGATCAAGAAGAAGTCAAAACTCCGTGTATCACCTGATAAAAACGTAGGCTGACTGGCCTAAACTAAACATTAGATAGACAGCATGCATTTTTATAGTCTAGTTAATCTATTTGGGGTCATCGTTCAGCTATTTTACGAGCAGGGGGGGGGGGGGGGGTTCTTATATTTTCTAATCAGTTATCTCGTGCAAAACTGAAGGAGAGACAATAGCCCATGTGAAGAGTTGTTGATTGAAAATTGAAAATGTTACGGTAAAGAAAGCCAAAAGAGGCCATCGGAACATTCTACCAAACGCCTTGGGTCAAGTGGAAGTACTTGATTATGTGTTTACAAGTACTACTATTATATTATACCGTTATAATGTATGATAGATATATTTTATTAACATTGAACTTGAGAGCTCGCTTAAATTATAATTTTTAATTGGATAGTATTACGGTGTATTCAAGCATTTGCATATACATATTTGCTTACGAAATATCTTTTTAGTGTGAGAAAAAACCATTTAATGTGAGCGGTCTAGAATGGTATTGCGTTACATCTAAATGTATTGGCAATTCACATTCCAGCGAAAGCGTAAAAAATAATCATTGTAGGTCGAATTTTATTTAGTTTATGTATTAATTTATTTTTAATTATATTTCCTTAATTATTTTGTATCAGCAAATGATGATCGATACACCAAAATCTATTATTTATTATTTTTAACCGACTTCAAAAAAGGAGGAGGTTTCTCAATTGGACTGTATATATTTTTATTTTTTTTATGTGTGTTCGCGGATAACTTCGTCGTTTACGAACCGATTTTGATGATTCTTTTTTGTCGAAAAGGAGACACCCCAATGGTTGTACCATGGTAAGGAAACCCGGATCTGATGATGGCATCCCAGAGAAATCGAGGGTCATCATTAAATTTTTAACAATGTTTTCAATTTTCTGATTGAAGTCGGTTTTTTTGGTTAAAAATTATACTTGTTCCATAACTTCCACCTAGTTTAATGAACCACAATGTTCACTATACTAAAATAAGTAACTACAGAATGACGATGTTGTGGATTACATATGAAAGAGTATAAATAGCGTTATAAAAGAAGCAAATACGGAGGATGGTAATTGTTTTACGATACAATTAAACGATAACTG